TGTGAAACTTTTTTGGCGGGTAAATGACTAACTCGGGATCCAGAAAAGTTGGGAGGCTGAAATTTTAAAGGGATGTTCTCAGCCTGCACACAACTTAAAAATTCCAAACCCAGCTCCCAAGTATGCTCCTAGGTCGCATGCGGCCCTGTGAAAGTTTTGGCGAGAAAATTGCTAACTCGAGAACCAGAAAAGTTGGGGGGCACAGACTTTGGAGAATATTCCCCGTTCAAATGAAACTTGAATCTTCAAATTCAGTTTTCATTTACGCGTGATTCTCGTGCACGGGCAATTAAATTTCTGGCGGGAAAATTATTCATTGAACAGTTGAGTTATTTTCAAAAACACTGCCAAACGAAAATAGTTTATTTCTTTTTATGCAAAATTTACGATGATTTCCGACATTAAGCACACAAGGTAGGTGTGAAGAAACAACCGTTTACGCAGTTAACCTAATTCAAGTTTTGTGCAAAAACGCATGATCGCTCCGGCTCGCCTGGTGCGTTCCAGCCTAGGTATTCCATGTGGTTCAGAAGTAGCAATGTTCGCAACAAGATAGTGAGTCCTGGACGTCACGTAAGCGACGGAAACATGCCAAGTGCTTTTATCGGGAGGGTCAAGGCGACTTCTCCAGGAGACCGAGCCTAAATCGGGATCGCCACACGCTGACCACCAAGCGATGTAGTTGTATTAGCCAGACTAGCTGCAGAAGTTACCAGCTGTCTAATTTGGGTACCATTGTGCGAAATACGGCTGGGGATCCAGGGATTTCAAGTAATTCAGGTGTCGGAACTTATTGGGAAAATCAGGAATGAGTGAAGTGTTTTCAAAGAAACTGTGTTCTGTAGTTGTTTTCCATTGAAGCACTAGCCTGCCTGGTTTAACTTTTCGCTTGGGACTTCCTTTTTCCACCAGCCCACGGACAGGCTGAATATCATGGATCCATGGACCCGCAGATTGTCGGATTTCGATTTCGCGCAATGCACATTTGTGGCTAATGAGGATGAATATCGGGCAGACATCATGGGTTGTAGTATCACCAAGATCACCCTAACTGTCGGTGCCGATGTTGAACTCTTTAATTACAGTAAATGCTGCACTATCCTAAGTACTTGTTTCACTCTCTGTCCCGGGTTATATAGATTCACTTTCGGGGCCCTCTAAATGTCCACAATAGCTTGTGAGTGACCACACATTTCTCGCAGAACAGTTCTCTGACTGACAGCACCTTTCGGCTGTTAGGAATGCAAGGTGTTCCATGAGATGGAACTTAATTACTCTTGCGGTCACTGTAGTTAGGTGCATATCACTTACCTGATAGATGCTCATCCAAATGCTCATCGTTACCTCTACTGCCGAGCTTTCACTTACTGCCCTGTTCGCAAACACCAGCGGTCAGTAAAGTTTTGATGCGATCTGTGCCTGGACTGATGAGTAGAAAAACGGGAAGCCGTAGCAAGGCAGCGGTGCATGTTGAAAAGGGATGTGTGATGTATCGCGGAGGGTGGCGATAACAGTGACCAGTGCCGATGACCAGCGCAACACGTACCCGACTGACGACAGCTGATCGGAAGAGACCTCCAAAGCAGCGCTCATTATAGCGTTCATCGGCAAAGCAGTATGCGGTAAAATCTCGTGCGCCTGGGGTGGCCAGATCCCACGAAAACAAGCGCCGCCTGTCAGCTTTATCCTACTTTTTCACTTTAACCTCAACAGTTACGCACGCTCATCTTCAATACTTCAGCGTTCCCATCTTTTTTTGAAAAAAAAATTCGCATTTTTGTCGCATCTTTGTTGCTGTGTTGCTAAAAAAATTCTGAATCCACGATTGGCTGCTGGACCATTTCCTGTTGTCTCTGCTGTTCAGCAAAAGCCAGCATCTTTTGCCAAGTTGTTCGCGAAGCTACTCTTTGTCGATTTATTCTTTATTACAGATTTATTTAAGTTATTGATTGTTTTTTCTGACTATTTTTTAATACATATATTAAAAGTAATCAGAAATATACATAGAAAGAAATAATCAGAAATAAATATGTATATATATACTAAAAGTAGTCACTATACAATAATTGCTACATGCATATATAAATTTTTATATAACATAGCGTTTGAATATGTATAATATAATTTTGTGTACATATGTGTTATCTTATATACGTATACATATATATGTTATAATTATATAATTTTTTATATATGACTGTTTTATTACAGACAAAAGAACTTGTATATATAATATTTACATGTATATAAATGTATAATATATAATAATATGTTATTTTTTGACTTTTGTATATAAGTAGTGCGCGAAATTACGAAAAGTAACGACAGTATATGCGACTTGATGGACCAACATTTTCTAACATATGTATGTGTATTGAGAAATATAAATATGTATTAAAAAACATAAAAAATAATTGGATGAACTGGTATGTTCCGGCCCATTAAGTCGTGCACACCGGGCTGCCGTTACTTTTCGTAATTCTACGCACTAGCTTCTTCAGCTTCTGATCCTGCGGGGGGTTCCAAAAGGTTAGCCGTTTGGGCTAATTCGGCTCTGAGGAGCAATCGACTGTACCCATTGGAGCGAGGAGGTAAACTGCGTAATTTCTTCAGTTGCAGCTTTGTGTATGCGTATATGTGGTTCACCCACCCTCGTGTATTTATGATTTTTGACCCGTGTTTGTGGTCGTGTCCGTCTGTTTGTCTGCGTGTTTGTACATGTCTCTGTGTGTGTATGCTTATTTGCACATGCTTATATATGCTTGGTAGTCTCGATATATGTATAGGTGTATTAACTGGGAATAGCTGGATTACGTAGTTTAATTCTGCCGGTGGAACGATTCGTTCGATAATTTCGTACCGGTACTTGTTCAGGAGACTGCCATCAGCTTAATTTTGGGTAGCCCATCGGAGGAGGGGAGCCACTGACAGTGTTACCAACGGGTGGTTGCTACTGATACTGGACTTTCGAACAGAGATTCTTTGAAAGGAGGATTTTGTTTTTAACTTGATATACGTTTTTGTATGAGATGCATGTTTTACGCGCATGTGTGCGCGTGTGCATGTGTGTGTGTATGTGTGTGTATGTGTGTGTATGTATGTGTGTGTGTGTGTGTGTGTGTGTGTGTGTGTGTGTGT